GTGCGGAGAGAATCCGTATAGAAGGGGGGGGGGGGGGGGAAGCTGGGCACGTCGCTGCACCAAACCGTTCTTCACCAGCAGCTGAGGGTAAGCGATTGATGGAAAGCAAGCTGGTGCCGCGCCAAACCCAGCCACCTGACCCGTCCAGCGTCCACAACGCAAGATTGCAAGGGTTCTTTCCTCCTCGAGCTCTTGCAAAAACTTCCACTCCACTGAGGTAAGCTCACTTTTGCAAATTGAGTCCTTCAAGAGCCCTCCTCCACCCGGCTGTGGATTTGGTGATTTAGGCACTTTGAAATGAGCTCGCAGCCGAAAGTCAGCGCGTCCAAACGGCAAAACTTGTATATAGAGGTAATCTAACATCCTGATCTACTATGACATTCATTCTTGGCGCTGGCGCTAATGTAGAACACTACGATTATCTGCCTCTGCTAAAGCTGAACCAGAAGATAATCGTAGTGTCCTCCATTAGCGCCAGCGCCAAGAATGAATGTCATATTTGTGAACAGGATGTTAGATTACCCCTATATACAAGTTTTCAGCGGATTTGGTGATCTAGGCACTTTAAAATGAGCTCGCAGCCAAAAGTCAGCGCGTCCAAACGGCATCAGCCCCTCCACCCCAATCCCTCCTGAGCCGACTTAGGCCAATATAAATAGCCGAACGAATGACTAGAAAGGTAATCGATAGAAGTGGAGTTTTGACTTAGACATGGGCAAATTTGACTTAGACATGGGGAAAAAACTCACCGCACTCTCAGTAAACAAAGCAGGATGATATTGCGTTTCACTATGAAGAACCTCATTGTAAGAATAATCCAAAAGATTCTCGAACATTTCCCAATCCTCAACTGTAATGAAGAACTCGTTAAAGTCAATTGTTGAATAAACAAAGACTTTACAATCATACAACAGAAGCGACACTGAAGCCACTCACTCATGCCATCCTTCATGAAGCTTTGAATAGTTGTATTCGGCCTTGGAACGACGATTTTCGTTGTTCCAATGAACATATTTCGCTTCTTCTTTACATTGGTCGGTTCTGCACCTTCTTTCATTTCCACGTCATCATCCGCTTCAACTTCTTGAACAGCTACGTAGGAAGGAATATCGCCCTGAAACTCGAAAGGTCCGATATCAGCTCAGCGCTGAAAAAAGGCGCCATTCCAAAATACCGCGCACTTCGGTTCAATAGTTCCTTAGCTGAATTTTAAGCAACAGTGTAGAGCTTCAGAGTTAATTTCGGAAGGCGTAAAGGAACTAGGCAAATGGACAAAAGTGTCCCTATTCCAAATTTATTAATGCCGCGACATTTCGGTATTTAGCACCTTTGAAGTAAGCTTATGTAACGAATACATTAATCTACCCTCACGGACTATCATCCAACCTACATACTTACCCTACATTGCATGCCTGAAGGGTAAGTTTATTGACTCGGGTACCAGTCCGCGTGAACCATTTCAATATACTCGTAACTAAAACTACAAGCTACCATTCCAGTCCTGACGAAGGTCTGAGCACCAAAATACTGCGAGATAAATTAACTTTGAAAACGTTTCAAAACCTTCGTGTTTTTTTTTGTCCTCTGGAATGAACTTTTGGCGCCCTACACTGCTGCTAAACATTCAGGTACCATCAGCCACAGTGGCAGTACAATATTAAGCCCATAATTTGTAGTCAGTGCTTAAATTACTGTAGACCTTAATCAAGAGAGTTTTTTTAAATTACAGGATGCTACGGGCTCAGCCTGAGGGCAGGTACGAAAGGGAAACTAGACAACCTTTTTGAAACAAATAAACCTCAAAATTAATTATACATAAGAATTTCACCATCATTTTCTTAACGTAAATAAAAAAGCTTTGTAGTGGGTAAAAAGGCTAGCTTCAACAGCAAATGCGACACTATCCCACTATACCGACACCGAAAACAGAAAAATTCTACTGAAACTCTGCCTATTGATGTTGTTTTGGTGCTCTGATCACGAATATGACATTCATATTGACTCTGCCGCTATTTCGCACCAAATGGTCCCGATTTTGCGGGCCCGATTCACTTTTTGACACCAACGCAGTCGAACGCTCTGCCGGCGGAAGAGTGTTCACTGCAAGGCTCAGCCTTAGCAGATGCCACGAGATCGAGGTGTCCTACATTAACGCCGGCGCTAAAAATGATTGCCATATCCGTGATGAAGATGTCAACCCCTGTCATCCATGATGAGGATGTCAACCGCACAAGTTTTCATTAATTTTGGTAGGAATGTGATACGCAAAAAGGCGCAGGCGTGAAAAACGATTATTATGTATAGTGTAGTTCATTGCGGACGGTTGGGCGTGTTCGTGCGGCTGCGTTTGGCGCGGTGCCAAACTCGTTCTCCACGAGTTGTTCAAGCGAGCAAATGACAATACTGTATCATACCTTTCGTATTACTTGTTTTCTACTGCTTTTTGTCGCATGCCCGTTTCAACAAGAAGGCAGAGAACAGCTCAAAGAGGGTGACACACTCATACTGGCTGACACGCCCAACCGTCCGCAGCGAAGTAGTGTGTAAACTTTAGTTCGCTGCGGACGGTTGGGCGTGTCAGCCAGTATGAGTGTTCACACCTTCAGAGCCTTTCTCTGCCTCTTGTTGAAACGCGCATGCGACAAAGTGGTAGAAAACGAGTAATACGAAGGATATGATACAGTATTGTCACTTGCCCGCTTCAACAACTGGTGGAGAACGAGTTTGGCACCGCGCCAAACGCAGCCGCACTGACACGCCCAACCGTCCGCAGCGAACTACAGTATACCTAGTCAATGCACTGAATAGCTCCTGTGGGCTGAGCTTCAGAGAAAAAAATGAGTTTTTGCGGTAGTGATAGTGCGATAGTGCCTAAAATACTTAACAACAATGTGAGGTCCCCCATCTTATTCCCAAGCTCAAAAGATACAAACATCCTAAGGAGATCTCAAGATTATTCAAAAAGACTTCTTTCAAAAGCTCTGATATTTTTGTATTCTCCGAGTTGGATGAAGTTTGGAAAACTGTTGTTAAATACTCGGATATTATGAGGTTTCTCGAAAGTGTAAACTCAATAAAAGTAAAATATTGGTTGAAAATAGTAAAATAGTCTCAAATGCCTTGACATACATAATGAAATAGCCCGGTAAACTGAAGTAAAGCCAAAAGGAATCTGAAAAGAAAAACCTTTGGATATTCCTCTCCAGCGAAGCCGACACGTAGGCTATGCGAGCCTGCATCGAATACCACACCACTGACTTCGTCTAAAAAGTGATTTCATCAAAAACAGATAAATAGTCAAGAAGATACATAGAAACAACCAACTTCAAAGAAATAAAATGGAATGATTGGATTGAGGAATCATTTTCGTATATAGGACTCCAACTGATAACTCACCTCCACCGTAGACACCACCACTCATATCAGTTAGGATACCTGGAACACCGCAATTTCGTCATTAATATATTGTAACGGAAGAAGAATTAGCTAAAATGAAACAGAAATACAAGCAACATTGAGAAAAACGCGTGCCTCGACATCTTCGAATTGGTTCGTAGCCCCAGTGAACTCGTGTAAAAGAGGGCGTGGCTTCGTGCGCGGCGTCGCTCTGGCCATCGCAAGCGTGGCCCGGATAGGTTTTGAACGTATACATGAACATTCCTATTTTAAATGTTGTTGGACGACGGCGACGGCGACCAAAGTTTGTCCCTTTGGTTACGGGCGTTTTCGTTTGTGAATTCTAACATGTCTGTTCCTGTTAAACTTGTCAAAGTTGACAGGAAAACAATGGACTTGTAGAAACTAGTTCACATCTATGACATCTACTGCTTATTTACATGTTTGACAAGTACTGCTTGTTTACATGTTTGACATGTACCGGTTGTCTTGACGTGTTCAGATGCAGGACGAACCGTTAGGGTTGGATTTTTTCCGACAATTTTTGGTACTTGAAAGCTTGAGTATTTTTTTATTCAGTTGTGTTGTGAAACATGCTATATTAGAATCCAAATTGATATTTCGAGCGCTATTTCACTGGGTGGAATTGGCGATGCTATGTGAATTGCGTGTTTTCTTGCAAAAGTTCGTAAAAAGTTTTCTCCCTGAGGAGAAGCTTTTGAATTGTTTCCAACATATTTATTCTTTTTTCGTAGTTGATTTAAAAGCAGCCCTTTCTGAACCTTCTATTTCATATTGTTTCTTTATGATTTCTTTCAGATTTTCACGTTAGAACTAGGCCGGAGGGGGGGGGGGATAAATCATTTCTGAATGACTGATTGCTCGGCGTTTCATGAACTACTTGAGAGGTGAAACGAACTGTTCTCACCACCTATTCTTCAATTCCTGCATTTTTCAATTGTTTTCCTTCACTGTTGCGTTGAGTTTAGAGCAAGATGCTGAGCGAGGGCTCTATTTTCTGTTTTTTTTTTCTTTTAGAAGCGCTTATTCTCTCATTATCCCATCACTGTCGTGCCATCTATCCTTGGACTTATTTCATGAGATTTAGTTGATTTATTTGAAAACTCAACGTTATTCGACGCACGTGAAGAACGCAGAATACCACTGCACTTGGTGTAATAGTTCGTCGGATTGCGATAATCGCAATTTTGCACAAAGAGCTTTTTGAAGCTGTGAGCTTCGCTTCTGCTCCGTTTCTTTGGGCTTTCGGGTTGGCGGGCATTTACTGTTGTCGAAAAACAATTGCGAGGCAGGAGGTGCGACTTTACAGTACATCAACCTCCACAGATGTACCAATCCGTCACTATAAACGCCGTTAATAAAACTGTAATCGCATATCGCACCGTATTCCACAGCTACGATGACCAAACAGCAATGATAAGACACAGACGGATATCGAAGAGCTAGTGGTTCCTCTATATAATTGTGATTTCGGAGTGCAGTTGATGTATTGATAAAGGCGCGCTCTTTGAGCAAAAAGGGACATTTCGTGCAAGATGCGAAGAAATTATTGTTAAGGGGAGGATAAGAAGGCACTGAGATTCCCTGAAAACTCGTCCCCTAGGGTGTTTTGAACCCCAGCTATCAATCCGCGCTTGGTACAAGTTTCGGCACTATTCAACTATTACTACCCCAAAAAGTCAAAATTTTTTGCTGAAACTTTCGCCCACAGGGGTAATTCGGTGTCCTGATCACGAATATAGCACTCGTTTTCGGCGTTGGCGCCATTTGGCGCCGCCACCTTTCTCACCAAATTCGATGTAAATTTGCATAGTAGGGTTACTTGATGTCCTGATCACGAATACCGCATTAGTTTTCGGCCTGGCGCCATTTGGCGCCATTAGGCGCTGATTTGGCGCCACACCCTTTTTCATCAAAATCGATAAAAACCTGCATAATAGGGTTGTTTGATGCCCTGATCACGAATATGACATTTATTTTTCGACACCAGCGCCATTTAGCGCTCTTCTAAGGCTGAGCCTGGGAGAAGGAGTGATTCCCTTTAGGCCAGGCTCAGCCTTAGCAGAGCGCAGATGATCGTCTTCCATCAGCGCCAGCGCCAAAAATGAATGTGATATTTGTAATCAAGATGTCAAATAACCTCCGTATACAAGTTTTCAGCGGATTTGGTGACCTAGGGTATTTTGGCGCGGGCGCCAGGCGGTTTCTTGTCGAGCGGATGTGATATTCGTGTTCAGGAAGGTCAAACTACTCCTGGGGACAAGTTTTCAGCGAACTCCGTGATTTGGGGATTTTTGGCGCAGCCGCCTGGCGCGAGCGCCAAGCAGTTTCAGGCCAAGTGGATGTGATATTCGTGTTCAGGAGGTCGAATTACCCTAGAACCCAACTTTCAGCCAAATCCACCTCCGTAGAAAAAGGTCATCACAAAATCCAGACTAAGCGTAAAGTTGTCCCATGGGACAACTTTACGCTTAGTGGCAGCTTGACCTCCTCCGCTTGGCCCGAAACCTGCTGGCGCCCGCGCCACAGACGGCGGCATCTGAATACTCATAACCGCCAAAATCGCTGAAAACCTGTCTGCTGGGGTAGCTTGACATCCTGAACTCGAATATCAAATCCGCTTGGCCCGAATCCCGTGACGCCCGCGTCACAGGCTCCGGCGCAAAAATACTGGAAATCACCAAATCGCCGCAAACTTGTCAACTTTGGGAGTTTGACCTCCTGAACAGGGTTATAGCCCTCATAAATGACCCCAATCCTTCCAATTTTATTTCTGCCAATACTGTGCGTAGTGAGGCCTGACGGAGTTTTATACTCCTTCCCTTTCTGTGGGTGGTTGCTATTTCACCCTATTAGTGCTGAACATTGTAATGGTGTATGCTGTTTGATAAGATCGAGTGACCTGAAGAAGGGCTTATGCCCGAAACCGATGTCCCTAGCGGGCATAAAACGAGCAGTTCCGGAGAACTCGCCCAGAGAGGCCAACAGGTCTTTACTTGGGGTTTTCTCCATGGTTTTTTTTCGCTTTTTCCTTCCTTTGTTGGTTATCTAGCGACTGTAGTTTTGTAACTGAGCGCCATTATCCACAATATTCGATCGTGGGCTAAGGGTTGAGGTCACGGGTGGTCTTCTCAGTGGCAGTATGAAAAAATTCAGCCTAAACCAACTAAAATCACGCACTACTGGAGAAGTCCGCCATTTTGTCAGTCCGATTTCCAATTCAGAATTTAACCAGTCTTCAGAATAATTCATTAGCTCTGAATAGAGCTTTCCGAACTGGAAAAAATGCAGTAGTTTCAGTCTCTTCGCCTGCCGTCTATGATTTTCTGATATTCTGGTTCACTGAGCAATGACCTAAGCCTTGTTTGGTGCGTATGCTGGGGCGTGTCAGGGAAGCTGGGTTTGGCGCAGCGCCAGCCAGTTCTCCACCAGTTTTCACAGCAGCGCTAGCATCAGTTGTTGACGCTAGCTTCGCTTCAACGAGTGGTGGAGTACTGGGTGACGCTGTGCCAAACTCAGCCTACCTTGACACGCCCCAGCGTCCATAGCGTGTAAGACTGTAAGTACTTTGAAGTTGTTTTGTTATGATAACTGCTGTTTAACGCCGCAGTTCGCGTCCCGATGTTATCACAAGAATGCTGAGTTATGGGCAAAAGTCGAACCCCAGGCGGGAGTCGAACGTAACGCGCACTCGCACCCGGGAGCGTGAGGTGTCGGGTTCGACTCCCGCTAGGGATTCGACTTCTACCCTTGACTCAGCATTTCTGGTGATAACTATAAGTACTGGTATCTGCTCTTCCTAAGGACAGTAAGGAGAAAGGCGGAAATGACATTAAAGGCATACTGGGGAAAACTGTCCACCCCCCGCACCGCGCCCCACCCATCTACCCACAAAGGTAAACAGCTCATTCGAATTGAAAAATAGTTCTTCCTTTTCATTCTGCAGTGAGGCGGGCGGTTACCACTCGCTCGGCCCCGGACTCAAATCCCGGGTCGACTCTCGCCTAGGGCAACCAAGCCTTCTACCCATCTGGGAACGGTAAATTGGTACCAGATTCGTCTGGGAGGATAAAACACTGACTTGTACATCGGCTGGCCCCTGCAAGTCATTGTATAGGCCACATCGCATTCAATAAGCCACTATGATTCTGACTGGGAGTGGACAACGGCGATGACTTTATCCTTTTCTTTATACTTCCAGCACTGAGTCATTGTGAATCAGCTAGTTAGAAACCATTATTCACGATTCTCAGCGCACCGTGAATCATTCTGGGAAAGACGTGTGCCATCTGTCAGCCAGCGTAGGGTTTTTCTGATGGGTTCCATGTACAATAGCCATCCCGCACTCTAGGGGCGGGACAGCCATTCATTTCATTGATCTGCCCTTGACAGAGTGTGCTTCTGCTCATAGCAATCATTGAAGGTACGTGCTATCTATGGTGTAGTGATTCTAATACAGATGATGATTAGAACACGTTTGTACTGTGCGTCAGCGTTTTGAGCGTTTTGAGCCACTCACTGGGAAAGTGTAGGTATCCAGCGTTTTCAGTGTACCTAGAGCTTAAGGACAGTTCCTTTTCTGCATTTCAACAGAACAGTACGAAACTTCGAATGTATTCTTGTGAGTCATGATGAATCAGTTCTTCGT